ACTAGCCCTTCCAACGGTTCGACGTGTCAACGTCAATGCTGAACACCCACCTGGAAGCTTTAAGAGTGGCACATGTTGCCGCGTCTCGCAAACTGATAAAAGGGAATTGATGGGCGGATGCTGAAAATCCAACCGAAAATTTGTTTAAAACAGCACAGCACAATCTATAAATGAGCCAGATAAGTTATGCCAGTTTATCACTGCATTCGTGCATGCTCTGTGCACCGCTCCACCCCCCCCCCCCCCCCGCCTACAAAGTATACACTCAGCACACTTCAACGACGAGTTTAATTTGTAAAACGGTGATCAGAAGTCCATCAATGCACTCGCTGATTATTACGAAGGCTGATAAACTGTGTTTTGTATTGATGCAGGCGTTGGTTATAAAGTGACGTTCACCAAAGTGCCGCAAGTGTTCAAACTCCATGATGCCATGGCTGTTGTTCAGAGGACCATACCCCATGCTGTAGTGGATGACGACAAGAAAGAAGAAGTCTGTATCGCTTTAGGCACTATGGAAAATGAGAACTTCCCGAGGATGTTTAGGATGCTCGAAGGTTCCATGAAAAGGCTCGGTATATCGAGTATAGGAGTCAGCGTCGCCTCCATGAAAGACGTCTACTTGAAGTAAGTTGGAGTGAATTCATCAAGGAATCAGATAATCGAAGAATCAAAGCGCTTAAAGCCTTATGCCAGCGTACAACTACAAACATATGTTTTAAAATCTTTATTGCAATTGTTGGAATAATTTTTCCACACTAAAGCGTGTTAATGATCTGTATAATTAACCTCCTCGGCCGCAGGGTATCCACTTAAGTACCGTTGTTTCAGTGGCTAGACATCACCACAATTAAATATCCGCATGGCCAAACTTGTCTTGCCAAAATAAGCATGACTTGCTTTTGCTAAGCCCCGAGTAATGGCGCCATGTGTCTAGTAATATTCGGAAAATGAGTCAACCAAAATATTAGAGTACTGCACGAGTGCTGGGTTGCCTCTTGGCAATAAGTGAAAGCTTTTTTTTCTTTGTTGTGAAGTGAATGACAACGTCTATAGTACATTCCATCACCAGCACACACCATTAAGATCACATTTAAAGCAAAGTTTGGTTCGATACTCTTCTTGCACGTAATAATGGAGACTTCAAAAGTTGAGGTGTGCCCAAATGGGTACCACCCCATTTTGAGGCAAGTATTCATATTTTAGAGTTCATAATTTTTCTGCATTTGTTTTAAGGGTAAGAAACCAAGTAATTCAGTTTTGCAAGAACCCTGTTTATTAGTGCATTTTAAGGACTAAGGAGGTTAAAATTCTTCTACCCCAGTGTGTTTCTGCATTTTCCGCACTTTGCAACATAGCTTTTTGAAGTCGACATAAATATAGGGGGATCATCGCCCACACTTTCTAGTTAGACTGCGAGAGCGAAGAATGACGAATAGAGAGAGAGCATGGGTGAAACTGAGTGGGTGAGAGACAAGCCTGGTGTGGCGAGCTTATTCCTTGGAAGCGAAGTGGTAGTGGTGTCGAGAAGTTGAAGCAGTGTAGAAAGGAGGAGAGCAAAGGCGAAGCTATGAATGAAGCATATCACGCGGTGTGGAAGGGAGAGTAGAGCAGAAGCGTGATTGACTGTGCCAGTGAATGGGGTCAACTAACGATACCATGCCTTCGAGCGCAGTTGGCGCTGGTGAGAGGGCATGGTGTTCGCCTAGCGACGAATATCGAGCCGCAAAAGCTATCAGAACTGCAAGACAGGCCAACCCCTCGCGATGCTCACATGAAGCTTTGCATACTTCGTGTTCTAGGATCAACATGGACTGGGCACCTGGAGGAAAGGGCCGAGAAGATCCTGTTGATGGTATGTGGTGCACTGTTATTTTTAAAGCTCGGCATTCTCTTACTGGAATCTTTTTCACTTTCGTTTTTTCTCGGATATTTTTGTGGTAATGTTATCATGTATGCCAAATCTTACGCTTCTTTGACAAAGTGTACCGCTCAGAAGGCAATTTTGAAAATATAAAGCGTCCTTGTAAGAGGAAACAATATTTGCCTACGAATATCGCTATTGAGCCCAATGCGACACATTGAATACGCCAAAGTACATCTCCTCATTTTTAATATTATATTTATCCACTTGCAATATCTCATATATCTCATAACTTTTGAGTTTTAGTTACCAGTACATAACAAGACTATGCTAATCTCTTCTCTTGTATCATACCAGAAGCACTTTTCCAATCTTTATGTTCAAGTATCGGTGTGGAAGGTTATGTAGGAGCAGATGGCTCTTCTCAGCATGTAAATATTTCGCGTGTACTCCATCTAGAAGCATAATCATTCAGAAGAAAAAAATGAATTCAATACAGCATGCCTGGCCGAGTCTTTTTTTATCTACCGCCTGAAGAGGCCGACCTAACGTAACAACGAACATTAAATATCGCATTCCAGTGCCGTAGTACACTGTCTGGGGCTTGTAGCGATAACTGAACAAGGTATACAAATTGAATTCTGACGTCACATACGTATAACTTTTGTGTAACTTGCTCCAAGTCATGAACTTAACGGCGCCCTTATCCATTTTGCAGAAAAAGTGATCGAAGCTGTTTCGAAACCCATAAGCAAACGACGCACAATGACACGATCGTTTAGCGCCCTGTTCCACAAGCGGCTACTAAGCCTCGTGCGCAGCTGGGACCTTTACGTGGTATTTTTCCTTGGGCCGCTTGTGCTGTTAGCGTTGGCTACGTGGCTTAGACCACAGCAGAGCCTACTAAAGACTCTGAAGAACCAAGAAGAGACCCTTGACGTCCCAATCAAACTGGGCACCCACTTCCCGGACTCCACAGTAGTGCTCGGTGAGGCACCAGCCACCAATCTGAGCAAAGCACTACGGGTGCTCATTGAGTCCGAGAGCTGCACCGTGCACGCCACCGGAAACGTCACCAAGGAGCTCCATGAAATCATCGAGGATGACTTCGCTGCCTACATCCTGACGTATCCGATGGCTGTGGCCTTTCAGTCGAACACGTAAGTGAATTGTCGCTTTACAAGTTCGTGACGACATGGTTCGTCTGGATTATAAACGCAAACACGTACACGTAGCAAATTTGAACGACAGTTCATTAAGAGTGCACAAAATTCAGATACAGCAAAAAAAGAACGTGAAGCACCCACAAATCCCCTTAATCATTCACAACTGAATCCTCATAAGCTCGCGGCCCGCAGTTCTCGAGAGCTATAAAATTATAATGAAAAAGCCGAATTTTCTACGGTGCTACCTTATTGGGAATCTAGTGAGCTCTGCACGTGCGCTCTTGCAGGCGTTCGATGTAAGTGAAAGTACTCGCTAGACTTACGGCAATAGAATTCAATAACAATGTTTCATAGGCAGCTGATGTTTGGTGTTTGGTGGCAGCAAACAAGATCTATCCGGAATTCGGTTCAGCGTAAGTGAAGATGGTCCAAGGCAGCTTGATAGCCAAGGGTTACATCTAGATTGCCATAAAGAATAAAAAGTTTGATGATTAGTGACGTAGGCATTTCAGTGAAGCCAGGGCCAACTACTTGTCTTGAAAACGACTCGAAAGTGACCGCAAATAATGCGGGTGTGCGTTGCCCCCATAGCGCGCGTGAAAAGTGCCCAACGGAGGTTCTAGGGATAGGCAGGAAACAATGGATTTGTATCGTTAGAAAGGGCTCCTCCAAAGATTCCATTGTTGGGCGATGGAGGGGATGCGAGAGTTTTATTCGAAATGGGCTCCCCCTGCGCGGTCGCAATACACGTTTTTTTTCCCGGTGGCGAACGCCATTGTTTAGATATTGACTGTGCGTAAAACTACAGGAATGGGCCCTCGGCAGCTAGGAAACAGTTCTTCTTTTGTGTCAGTTGGTTTCACCTTATGAACTCAGTTTACGAAGATTAGTACAAACAAATATGCAATCATGTCACAAAGTCCAAATGAATGAACGTGAGTTGGTAAAAACTAGTTGAGCCGGGAATGCTGCGAGCCGATCTTAGTCGTGTGGTAGACCCCTAACTACTTGACAATGCTTATGTACATATATCTGATGAGCTTCATGCAGAACGTTCATATTTCCGCTCACTGAAATGTAGGAAGTCCCTTAACCAAAACTAAGCCTACGTATATAAAAACGTAAAATCTTTCAAGCGTACTTTTTGAGGAAAGCAAAGGGCTGTTTGTTAAGTGAAACTGTCGACGAATACAACGGGCCTTTAAAACAAGGGCTTGAATGATGGCAAAACATAGTAGTATACAAGTGCTTGCTTATTAGCAAGCGAGAACCTTTCTTTATTATCCAACGAATACCACGTACATTTGTTTTTACAATATTATTGCTTTCAGAAATGTATTGGCTAACTACAACGCATATTCGCGTATCACTAAGGTGTATTATTGCTGCACTGCTGCACCGCAATCTTGCTCTATTGTATTCTTACCTAGCTGGTGTGCCACTCCCACTACTTACTACTGCTGTCTGTAATGCCTTTGAGCCTTAAATATACCCTAGGTTGGTATGTCAGCCATGCCTTCTACTCAGCCAGATATATTCGTTTATTCTCTCTGTCTCTTGAAGTCGTCACTGACATACTATGTCACATGTTCACACCCAGAGAGCCAGAAGAAACACCTTACAAGTTCTGGAAATTCCGAAGCAACTATGTTTTTTGAAATTTTGAAATGGCGTGTACAGTCGTTGTGCGAAGTGTTTCCCTGCAACCGTGAGCTCTGACACGGCGATATTATCTCTCTTGCACGCAGCATACGCATGATGCCCAACCCGACGAGTGCTATCACGTCTCCGATCATCATCAACCTCGTGCACACCGCCTGGTTGCGCGTGCTCGCGGCGCAGCCTACGCTGCAGAACAACATCACGGTCACTTACCTGGTCGCCGTTCCCTTCGAACCCTGCTAGCCCTCTTCATAGAGAGAGTAGTGGGCTGGCTCTACTGGGTGATTGTGGCAGCCCTGACCTACACGATGTCATTCGCCGCGTACGCCTCGTTCCCCGTGGACGAGCGGCTAGGCGGCGCTCGTGACGTCCAACTTATGACGGGCATCTCGGGCACAGAGTTCATCTTTGCCCACTTCGTCTTCGACTTCCTGTGCCACTTCGCGTACTGCGCGTCATGGTGCACCATTCACTACGCCTTTAGCTTCTACTCGTTAGGCACAGCCGGTAAAGAATCATTTTCATGTTTTTTTAGTACGGGGATGAGAGCAGGTAAATAACTAATTAACGCAACTTAACGCATCTCTCATAATGATATGGTGGTTTTATGACGTTAAACCCCACTAATCTATCTATCTATCAATTTTTGCAAGTTAGCAAGCTTTACGCTCATCAAAAACGCAGTGATTGAAAAAAAAGCTTAGGCAAGTTGTTATTAAATTATAACTTTTGTACAACTGCATAGCCTTTGCAGGACTACAATTGTTACCACTAAAAAATTAAACGTAGACCTCCGAAATGAAAGCGCAGAAAATTGGACGGAAGATGTCTGCGAGGACGAGCGTATGAAGGATGCGTAAGTGCTTCAGCTTTAATGAGAGCTTCTCTTGTATACGTGTACTTAAGAACTCTCTTTTTCTAGTTAGACGAAATATTATTAATATATAGGAGACAATAATGCAAGGAAACTATAGGGAAAGCTATAAGAACTGATTGTACGTAAATGTGAAGAAATAAAAGGGGATGAAAAGGTGCCTTGCCTTGGGCAGGAACGAAACCTTTCACCTCTGAATAATGCGTTCGATTCTCTACCAACTGAGCTACCACGGGGGCTATCCCCAATGCACTTTGTTGGATATATATGTGAATTGTCAGTCAGCTCCACTAGCAGCAATGACGGCGAGTGTCGACACTCTTTATCAGTCTCTTTGGCGTCACGTAGCACAAACTTATAGCGAGCTGGCAGCTGACCAATAATCCCCCGTATCACCTTAAGGCACCAAGTATGCCACAAAGAGTTCTGGCAGATTTGGTGGCCTAACTTGTAGCCAGTAAGCGAAAAGCCACACACTGCCACTGACAGTGGCGAACAGAGCATCGGGCGTCGGTAGAGTGACAACTTGAAAGCGCGTCATCTTTCACGCATGTTTCATTGCAGATTCCCGCGTCATTTCTAGCAGCATGTGTAAGTTCCAGCACAACATCGGCGTTTGTGTTTGGCAAGGCGTTTGTGTTTGGCAAGCAATTTCATCGGAAAGTTCCAAGATTATTTAGGCATTATCTAGTTCTCCAAGCGCGCTTTGCGCAAGGAAGCAATTACATCCCAATTTGTCGGTAACATAAACAAAGACACAAAGAAGTGAGTGTAGCAGTACGATTAGTTGCTGTTAGAGCAGTTTTGTTGAGTCTTCATTTGCTATGGGGCCACCTATTGATAATGTAGAAAACATTGTGCCATATCGGCGAAATGCAGTGAACTCTTGTTGGCAGGAACGTTGGTTTAACTAATGTTTCAGAATTCTTTCAAAATATTGCCGGCGGTTTATTTGTGCACTCTATGACAAAAATCTTTCGTTTAACGAACTGCAGAGTAGGGGAGGTTTGTAGTACCAACCCAATCTGCGGACCAAGGCTAATTTTGAGACCAATTTACTTGACTGCAGTGCCCTGTAGCTTTGGCATATTTGATGCGTGCGGCCCCAAATAGCTCACACATGAGTGTCGGGGCAAGATTATTCTTCATGCAGCACCACCGAATCAAAGTGCTCGTGCGTCAAGTCCTCTACAGTACCAGGGCAGAGCCAAAATATTTGAAAATTGTTTCAAGTTTTGGTCAATAACCAAAAAAAGTGTGACAAAGAAGTTTTAATGAATGAGACAGGTTTAAATCTTATATTTCCAGCTTAGGCTGTACGGTATATACAAAGAAACCTTGTGTCACAGAAACAAGCTGAGCCACATGTAATAAACAGAAAAGCGGTCTTTCTGGAAAGCGTTGTCTCTTGCGATTCAGGGTGTCAGTTCAAATAATTACTAAAAGTATTGTAGAACTTTACAGAAGTACCTTGAGAACAAATGTTACCTTTATTGTTTCACTTGATTTAGTAAATATGAGTAAAATTTATTTAGGTCAACTATTTATTTGGATCCCTTCAAGTTTACTAATGGGGATAAACATTGTATAAGGCTATATTACACAGAATAAATTCACAGGATGATTAGTCTCATTGCTCCGAAGCAATTTAAAAAAGCTGTGAACATGAATAAAGCTACCTAGGGGCTACGTTAACCTAAAGCAGTTGGTCGAGCATATTTCCGTTGAAAGAGACATAAGCCGAATGAATGCCCTCGACTCGAAATGTATAAAGAGATAGCCTAAAATTTTCACAATTTTGGCACATGTGATGCTCCAAAGTATGCGATGGCTAGCTTAGTTTACAATAACATCTTTTATGCAAGCAGTGCTCTTTCATATTGTTACTCAAAATCATGACAGACCGCATAATGAAAGAGTAAAGTGATGGCAAATAATAATACACACAAACATTTGTAGGGTTACTACGTCCCAGAGCCATATTATGATTGTAGAGCTACTGTATAGGAAGGCTCTGAAAACATAGATAATGTCGGTTGCATTAACATGTACCTATACTTAAGCGCTTCTAAATCTAATCTAAAATATAACTTAGAAGTGTGGCAGCTTGGGCTAGTTGGTATGGCATGACGATAGTTGTAGCGCGAGAACAAAACGACGACACAGAGAGAAGAAGTCTCTGTGTCTTCGTGCCTTTCGTGTCTTTCTTGTCTCTGTGTTGTTGTTTTGTTCTCGCGCTATAACTATCGTCATGCTAAAAATATAACTTTGTTCGGCATGTGGACGCCGCTGCTGGGATTCAATCCCCAGTCCTTCGGGACAGCAGCCGAGCCCCATCGTCACTAAACCACCCTGGTGTGCATTTATCAGAGACGTTTGTGCAAGGGAAGAAAAGTATATTTATAACTGTGTATGCTCATTTTCTTTTGTTTTAGCTCTTCTCTTCGGTGCTCTTTTATCCTTTGGGCCAGTGGCTATTGGCGTTTGCTACGTGAAGGCGGAGTATTCGAGTGCTTCAGGTTCTGCCGTGGGTTCAGTTTCCTATGGTTCTATATCGGAGGTAAGCAGGGATGCGATTTACGGGCAACTGATGTTTAGCATAGAAATGCTTAGGTTGTCACGCTATTCCTTGAATATTCTATTAAACATTGTGCGGACAATCATTTAATAGGGGGGGGGGGCACAAAGCCTTTTCATACGCTTACAATTTCACGCTCATAGTTCAGGCGGGTCTCATAATTGCGGTCTCGCTAATAGGAAGGCGGCTATGTTGTACTGCTGCAGAACAGAAGTTCATCATGAAGCCCCTATGAACTTATGCGAAATCAGCTGCCATCGGGCGGCCATGCTGCACGTTTTCGCCATATTGAAGGCTCAGCAATCTACAGATATGTTCACAATGTATAAGCGTTGGCTGATTAAAGCGGCAATGCCTACATATCCTCGTGTACAGCGTTGCTCGGAGGGAGAAATAGGAATGGTGAAGAAAAAAATGGTTCCAGATCTGCATGTTACACAAATATGTAGTCGAAAGACGATAGTGTTACGTCTGGAGAGAGTGAACAAAAGTTTATTTGATGTTTTGCGCAAGAAAATTGGTGAGGGTATTCTGGAGGCGCTCAGTTAGAGTGCCTTGAGAGTGTATCGGAGACAAACGAGTGGATCGAGGCACGTTGGACACAAGAGCCATCTGGCAGTTATCTTCGAAAACGAAGGCGTGCAGCCCGCGCAGCAAGATGCGCGCCAGACTCGCAGGTGATAAGGTGTAGAACGCAAAACGACGGGCAGATGCCACCACCCGTGACGTCGTAGCAAAGCGTTGCAAACACCTTTTTGAGCATCACGTTGCACTGTTAGTGCAGCGCGACAAACGCTACGTTCCTTAGAGTTACTTGTGTGTGCCTCTTCTGTATAAAGGCAGACATACAAAATTTCGAAGTGTTGTTATGTGCCTCAGATATGCGCAATAATTGCTTTTAATTATTACAATCGCCACAACTATGAACGCTAAACCTTGAGCAATATTGGTGGGCGCTGCGAATGGTGTTGGCATTTTGATGCTGTTTGAGGTATTGTTAGGGCCGACAAACAGACAAATGTACAGACAGACAGTCAGACAGACAAAAATTTCTCCGTTGAAGGTCCTCAAAAAAGACCATCGTCTTAAAAATTGGCCCCGTACCTGAATGTTACACTGCAAACGTCGTGAACAGACGATAGTCTTGCGTCTGAAGAGGGTGAACATACGTTTATTTGATGTTCTGCGCAAGAAAATTGGTGAATGGTGTTCTGGAGGCGCTGCGTTAGAGTGCCTCGAGCGTGCAGCGGTGGCGAACGAGCACATCAAGTCTCGTCACACGTGAGACATGAGCGCTATCTGGCAGTTATCTTGAAAACAAAGTGCGCGCGCTCTGTGCGCCCGTCCTAGTGGTGATAAGGTGTACTACGCAACGTGACGGGTAGGCGCCACCACCGTGCCGTTTTAGCAAAACGTTGGAAACAGTTGACTTTTCGTGTAAGCGTTGCATGGTCTGTGCAATATGATAAACGCTATGATCCCTAGAATTGCTTATGTATGCCTTGTCTAGTAAGACACACATAAATAAGACTGACGTGTTGTTATGGTGCCTCAGATATGCGCAGTAATTGCTTTTTAATTTACAATTGCACAAGTACGAATGCTTAATCTTAGAGTGATACTGGTGGGCGCTGCAGATGAAGTGGCCGTTTGTAGTAGCGTTTGGCTACATTGTTGCCGTTTAAAATACCCTCAAGTGCGGACAAGCAGAGAAATGTACAGACAGACAGACCAAAATGTTTCCGTTGAAGGTCCCCAAGAAAGACTATCGTCTTCGAAAAGTTGGAAGGCATACGGCGAGTATGCCACCACCATGGTTGCGCGCGATGGAAATTAACGATACAAAGTCATGCTTGCAACGAAAGCGACACAGTTTGGAACAAATCGGTCTATATGAAAGCAGAATTGTAGTGCGCACGTTGCTTCAGAGTATACCGTGCTTGTAATTAGCCAAGACAAATGTGATGTCTGACTTGCTAATGTTTAAAGGTTAAAAAAAAAAGCACGCAAAAGAAATCGCTATTTCAGGATAAAGATGTAATGACATTCCTATACCATTCCGTAAAGTGCTTCAAAGGCTGCCCCAATTCATTCCAAGACCGCGAAAAAGTGGAATTAGTCCTGAGTCATTTAAATGCCATAGTTGCCAGTACAAAACACTGCTACTTACTACGAAACTACGGCGCACATGTTCCGCAGTTATATTACACTAATTGGCAGGCATTGTTTCATACCTCGGCTAGAGATTGAAATATACATTAATTTGATTGAGTGTACTGATGCCCCCCGAAAAACGCTTTGACCGACGCGTTGGTACACAAGAAAGTGAACTATACTTTGAAAATTATGGTTATGGCGGTGGGTAATTAAGTAACACAGCAGTTACTTGTTATTTATGGTAGTGTTTTTTCAACTATCTGTGTGCGCAGAAATTTCTAGCTTTTAGGAAATGAATGCTCCGACAACTTCCCACTGCAATAAGTCGAACCTCCGAGCTAAAGTAGCGCTTAGTATATACATTATGCGTAAACGTGGCAGATGATGACTTTGTACGGTGTGTGCTGGGCATCTGTGTGATGGCTGATGCAGTAAACAGCCCGAGAACGTGAATCGCAAAGTAGTATTGATAGGCAAAGTAGAATTGAGGGTATACAAATATTCCTCGCATAACTTAAACTGTACTATCAAAATAGCTTCGGTATTAGCCGATATATTTAGAGGTACTGCTACAGAGGCTAGACACTCCGTCGCGCGAAGGGAGTTTCACGATTGCACTCACCCAGCAGGTGTGGTTTTCAGCAAATGTCAATAAGCGTTTCCCGGTCACAGAATGCAATCACACTAGCGGGAAAAGAGACAACCTCGAAGGGCACTTGATTCGGTACGTGTGGCCTGTGTATGAGCTTAAAATATTGATTATTATTATTATTTAAAAATACTGCCAATCCCTTGTCGGATTTTCGCAGAAAGGACATCAAGAAAACACACAATAAAAGCACTCAATAAAAACATCCGTAAGTTATACATCGTTTAGGATACGCGTTACATTGATGCTACCAAGTTCTCACAATTTCTAACAATCAAATTCAAACAAATTCTAACCAAATTCCAACAACAAAGTTCTAACAGTAATTGTACTATATCCAAATGATTACAGTGTGGAAGAGTCAAAATACACAGTCTAAAACAATGGATTTTGCAAAGATGACCACAATAGCGCAATATTAGGGTTCCAAACGCAAATGTTCTTCAACAAGACGTGAAAAAATATTTAAAGAATGCTGCTAGTAATCATAGCTTGCTAAGCTGTTCCATTCCCTTATTGATGCTGGGAAGAATGAGTGTTGAAACATTCCGTACGGAATGCGTATTCTTGTAGCATTTCGGGTGGCTGCTTACGGGTGGGTCGTGATTGTTGAAGTGTAATGTACCTGGAGGCATCGATGTTGGTTTGCTTATGGCGTAGCTGGTACATGAATCGTAGGCGTGCTAGTCTTGCTCGTTTTTGCAGCGTTAGCATGCCCGCTTCTTCGAGCATTTCAGTTGGTGAGTCCTGTTTGCCTAAACTTGTTAAAGATGTAGCTTGTCGCGGGAGTACTGAACTTCTAGAGTCATTGCCGTTACAAGCTTATCTGTGTCGTACCCTTGGCTGTCCTGCAACGCTAATGTATTGTAGTCTTTCCTTGCCACTGAAGTTGACAGTTTGCGTCGTGTCGTTTTTTACGGCGGTAGCAATTATATGAACACTCTTGACTCGTTTTTGCCACCCGGCGTCACTCACCGTATATGAATACGTATATATATTTATGAAACGCAAGAAAGAAAAAAAATCCAGCAAAAGACTCTGGCACAAAGAATCGAAACTTCGAACCTCTGCATCGTGAGTGCGAGGCATTGACCACTGAGTTACCGGAAAATACGTCCTCCAACGCGCAACGGGAAGCTATTTATATCTGCCACTTACCGCTGGTGAAAGGCATCTCGGAGGAGAACTATTGTGTTTTTAGCGTGAACAGCAGGATGGCGCATTGAGCACGCAGAGGCGCGCAGCCTGATTCCTACGCGTACTTTGCCCTGCGGAGGAAAGTGCTTGGTCCACTCCTGAACGCACATTTATGCGCCCCTTGTCTCGCGGTTGCGAGCATCTTATGTCTTTGCTGTCGTAAAGCTTTCACCGGAACTACTCTGTTGTAATACCGAGCGCACAAAGGTCACTGTGACCGCGCCAGACACAGCAAAGCAACACCTGAGACGCTTATTCGCGTTCATCTGTACTTGTTAATACGTTTCATGCGTTATTTGTGCGTGAGAAACGCGGGGCACGTTTCTATCTGCTTGCATTCTCCGCGTGACCTTCCAATTTGTTTCTACCACGTTCATTGCTTCGCCTTTGCGGCAAAGCCGTGAAAATTTTTGTCTATAAACCTCGTGCTAGGCGTTCAGCAGTTGTACCTGTGTGAATTGTTTTTCTTGATCAAGGACATCGCATTGCTATGACGGCTAAACTGTATTTCAGGTGCCATCGTCACTGCAGCAAGTACCTTCTTTGTTTTGCTGGGTTGGCCAGAATACACGCAAGTGCTTTTGTACGGCGTGCCTCCATACGCGCTCCTTTCCCTACTTAACAAGATATGGAACAACGAGGACAAGAGCCTGCAGTGCAAGGAACTGCAGAAGGAAGGAATCAAGTTACCGCGAGGTGCAGTATAAACTTTCGCAGTGAAGCGGTACACTTGTATAGTTTGTCAAGATCATTCATAGCTCCTAACGCACGCATAACATGAACACCGCAATTTAGCGACTGCCGCAACAAACTCAAACGGCGGTTAAAGTTAGGGTGACCTTCGTGCTAGAAAAGTGCGAGGCAAGCTGACAGGAAGAGGGCAGGGAGCATTGCTAGGTCGGCAGTAACTGAAGTGGTCGAATGAAGTGGTCGATGAATTCAAAATATGTGGGCTATTTCAATAGAATCAACGATTCGGCTAATTGGTTTAATTGCTTGGTAACTTTGTGGTTTAGGCGCATGAAGAACGACAAAGAAACACAAGACAAGCACTTATTCACAACTAAATCATTTATTGAAAAGAGAAGAATATAATGCACCAAATAGAGATAAACGCTTGTGTCTGAAAGGCAAGATGATATTCATGGCAACGCGTGAAACACCATTTAACAAAAGCAGAAAGATTCTAGAATGACAAGCTCATTTTCATGTAGCGACACCGAATACTGGCTGACGCACTGATTTTCTCGTTTTCTATATGAAGTGCTTCAATCTCTTCTCGAGTGAGTTAATTGCTACTACGAAAACGAACTTCACTGTTTTTGAAAACAGGGTAGCAGCCGCACACTCTGTAATGAATCGAGATACGCCGCTCCTGAATATTTCAAAGATGTATCGTGCTCACTAGGACGGACATTGATGAACCTTCCCGACTGGCCTATGTATAGTTTACAAAAGCCTATGGCTTATTTACTACGCGTACAAAACTGGCTTCCCGCCAGCTTAAGAATGCGGGTCTACGGCGAGAAATCGACCCACGTACAAGCTGATTTGGTCGTGTGGCCTTCCGACACGCAGCCAAATGCTGGAGAGCGTGCGCAGATATCGACACAAGCAGTCCTCGGCACCTTAAAATGCGCTTGAATTTGCCTACAGGAGTTAATAATCTTTCAAATTTATAGCACATCTTACAAAATATACATCATGGTCATATTAGTTTCGTATGTACTCGAGGGCTAACTCTTGAGCAATAATTTTGCAAGAAGCAAGGCTGCTTCTCCGAAAAAAGCTAGCTCGGCGCCATTTTTTAACTCTTCAGGCATCGGACCGAATTGCGATGAAGGTTTGCTGCAGTTCAGCACGGACGGAGTAGGCTTCGAGTTGGCGTTCCTTCTTGCGGAAGGCCTGCTCTTCCTGGCTTATATGATCTTCAAGACGTCGGGCTACTTGAGTGCCGGAGACCCATCCCCGGGCGATGAAGCCGCCGCAGACGAAGACGTCGCAGAGGAGGCGAAGAAAGTGGAGACTGCTGTTCAGAAAGGCGACTACGTCAGCAACTCCATGTTAGTGTGGAGGCTGCACAAACACTTCGGCGCCTTGCACGCCGTGCGTGGAATCTACATGGCCCTGCGCCCGTCCGAGTGTTTCGGCCTCCTCGGAGTCAATGGCGCGGGCAAAACGACCACGTTCCAGATGTTGGCCGCGCTCATCAGCGTGTCGTACGGCGACGCGAGCACTGCGGTGGCCAAGCTCAGTGCAAACGCTCGAAGAGTAAGTGCCTATTTCTGACGGAGAGCAGCATTCGTTCGCGTCACGTTCAATGGACATGCAAAGCATTTTAAATTTCGCTCGCTCATGTATTTGAAATGGAAGTTGTCGTGGAAGCCGCAAGTACAGCCGCTTTCTAATGACCAAACAAAACGCTAAGTATGCGCATGCGCCGTGGAGTTACCACGGCACGCGTGCGCTTTACTACACACAACCGTCTTGACACCCCAAAAGCACACGTCCCCTTCCACTAATCATAACAAGAAGATTAGCTTGCTTGCCGGGCCACTTTGAAGGGGTCCTGAAAGACGAGTTCACGTTGGCCTTTCTCAGCGTGGCATCGCGGCAGAGCCAAGTCACGGAAGTCAAAGGCTCACTAAAGAGAGGAGAGATGTTTCCGTATCGGTAAAGTACGAATTCACAATCCTGAAAAAAATACTATTACCGCGAGGAGACACTTGGTAAGCGAGACAACGCGCGAAAAGAAAATGTGGGGTGAGGCGCCACTTTGAGATTGCCGCACAAAACATCGTGACGTCAAATTGAAGATTTTAAAGAGGTCTACTGAGTCCTACGTGGCCGCTAGTCAATAAAAATGAAGTACACCGCCATCTATTGGTGTCATAGACATAGCAGACGAAGTTGCAGAAAAATATATTGAGGTAATGTTGTGGAAATACCAAAAACAAATTTTCACATTTTGGTTGTCAAGCAGAAAGATTGCGTTACGAAATTTCAAAATTATACTTCAGCCTTTATTTTTACCACAAATACTAAACTTATTATAGTGAAATTTGTACTATATTCTACAGTCTATTTATATAAACATTGTCAATATTTCTTTTTTCTATCCCTTTAGGCGAGATTTACTAACGGAGGGCCACGTTTATTCACTTCACTAAGACTAAATAACTGTGGACAGGCCAAAGATTGAAATCAAAAATAATTGTCGTGGTTTCATGTCCCAAAACCACAATATGGTAATGAGAGATGCCGTAGTCAAAGGCTTCGCAAGTTTTGACCACCTGGGGTTCTTTGAAGTGCACCTAATCAAAGCACACGGGTATTTTGGCCTGTACATTGAAGACGCAGCTGCCACTGCCAAGATTCAATCCTGTGACCAGCGGGTCAGCCACAAGTGCCGACGGCTGAAAATTTGGATGTAACCTTGAGATGCCAGTGCTAGCTAGGCACCAATTAGCTCCACTGCGTCTCTAAAATTGCGCCGCTAGCGCAAGCTACGCCCCGATCATTGTTTTATGTTGCGATATTCTATGCCTATATATAATAGACCATGTGAACATCTCACATGACGCCGAGACCTGGTTCTTGTGCGTTACCTGCTTTGACTTAGGATGCAGGTGAAGCAGGTGACGTACTTGCAAAGCCGGTGCTCAACTGTTTTGATGCAATACGGGCTGAACGTCAGTCAATTACCTTGATTGATTGATATGTGGGTTTTAATGTCTGAAAACCACCGTATGAGTATGAGAGACGCCGTAGTGGAGGGCAGTCAATTACCTTCTCAAGTTTGGTATTTCAAACTTGTATACTACAATAATTTAATCTAAAAGCAGTGAGTACCATCGCCGCTTTTCTCTTCTGACTTCAAGAATTTGGTGTCTCTCATAATTATACAGTGGTTTTGGGACGTTAAACCCCACAAATAATTGAATCAAATCAAGAATTTGGTTAGTAAAACTGTTTAAAGTTGAAATACTGCATAGCAAGTGGTTTTTGGCTGTCACATTTTCGGAAAATACTAAGCGTTCCGAGTTCTTCTTTTCAACTATCAAAACAAAGCAAGGTTTGTCGATACAGATGGTCAAACACGAGCTTGATATATACATATCTACTTCTTGTACTTTCGCGCACCACAGTGGCAGTCGCAGGTCAGTTACTGCTTCCAACTGGGCGGACTGTTGGACAGACTGAACGCGTACGAGTACCTCTACCTCGTCGGTCGGCTGCGAGGCATCGTCGACAGTGACTTGAAGCCCATGGTGGACAGTGTTATAGCTGTCGTGGACCTCACGGAACACGCCTCGAAACAGTGCGGAGTATACAGGTTCGTTCATGTGAGCTATATACTTTACAAGTCTCGGGAAAAGTTTGAATATCCTGTATACCCCCCTCAGTATCTGTAATATCGACACTTTTGACCTAGCTTCCTAGTACCATTCGAACTTCAGCGCATCATCAATTTTACTATGACTCTTTGCCCTTACAGCGCTTTATAGATTTTGGGACTCAATATAACAAATATGAATTGTATATTCTGCTCATCTTGTGAGATATGGAGTTCATTTTGTTGTTACTGTTGCTGCTAAACCAAGAACAGATGTCTTGGTAATATAGCTGACACTAATTTTACCAACAAGGTCGCCCGGATTGGGATTGTGTATTTCAATATATCCTGACGGCATTCACGCTGCATGCTCCCCTGAATACGCGCATCATGACTTTTCTGTCAGCCGTTCTTGCTGCGTTTGCTAGGCGTTCTTGGTGAAAACAGTGTGGGCAAACTTGTCTTCTGCTTTTTTCTTACTTGTGTTGGCACCTGCGCCTCGTTTCTTATAGTTGTAATATTTTCTGTCAGAAATAAAATATTTTAAAAAATACAAATAGATAGAGCTTTATAATACCAATTGGCGTGTTACTTTTCAAAGCGACAGTATTATCATCAGACGAGCAGTAGTGGAGGGCTACAGAAATTTCAACCATCTAGTGGGCTTTAACGAGCTCACACGGCGCAACGCATTCTGCCCTCTACCTTCTCGCGACCATCGAAATGTGACCGCCTGAGCTCGGATCTAACCCACATCTTTGAATAAGCAGACAAGCACCTTAACTACAGTAGAGCTGAGGCGTACGATACAGATGTAATCATAGACGTGAGAATGGAGGTAGCCAGGGGAGCAGGCTGCCTCCCAGGTCTTCTAAGAAGGGGTGGAAGGGGGTACTAAGTCAGCCCCTCACATTGACATATCAAGCTGGGGCGTTGCGATTCAGGGGCAGGGGCGCAAAGACAGCCCTTAGAATTCGCATAACAGAAAGGGGAGGAGTGGGGGAGGGGGAGAGTGCTGCGAAGAGCATTAGCTCCCGCTTCTTCGGCAAACTCGGCGCGCGCCTATGGACCATTTTAAGAAAACTTGTTAAGTGATAGGGCAGTGGGATCAATTTTAACTTCACGGTTGGAGTTGCGTAGATTTTGCGTGAACGTGGAGTGAACATACAATAAACCATTCGTTAAATATTGATTTAAAAAAAAAGAGTGGCTTGCTTTGAGCATTTATAGGTCGGTCTGCATCAGCGCTTACATTTACATGTGTCATCAAAAGACGCCAGAAGTGGCGCTATCATTTCCTTCAGAAATCGCAAAAAAGCCTGACAAAGGGTCTAACTCGTTTTCTACGGCCAAATGCTCGAATCGATAAGTGAAGGTTTTATGGCCCTTCCTTTGCAGTGGCGGCAACCGGCGGAAGTTGTCTATCGGCGCTGCACTGTTGGGCCTTCAGCCGTTCATCTTCCTGGACGAGCCGTACGCCGGCGTGGACGTTGTGTCTCGAAACAAGATCTTCCGAGCCATCGCCGAGATCAAGAAGCGCTCGAAGTCCACTTTCGTGCTCACGTCCCACAAGTGAGTGCTACCGTATCCACTTGAATGCATTACTGACAGGTTCGCCAGCAACCAAAACATTTCATGAGACAATCACGCCAAGAACAGCTTAAGAGAGATAATTGGTGCAATCGACGCTTGCACGCCCGATGCTCCAAGAAACAATCTCTAAGCACTTTGCTAAGACAGCGCAGATTTGGTTAAGGAAAAAAAAAACAGATACTGTCTATATATACATGTATCCTACGGACGTCCTTTCTGTGCTCTGTTGTTTCCTTAACCGAATTCACGTTCCCCACAGCACGATGTCCAAACAATTATCCCAACAATTGACCACGCTCAGAAGATGTTCTTGCTTTGATGTCGGGCAGTACGCACCATTACTAGATTATCATCAATGAGTAAGACCGGGCTACACGTCCTTGAGCCTTGGTGTTTACGGCTTCCCTGTCTACGGTTTTAACGCATCTTACTAAGATAGCTGATAGCGTAGCTAGTACAACTATTAGGATTCATAACCAATCATGTTTTCTGTGCATGTATCCCGATCTACTGCATTGTGCTCATGCTCAGAGAAGTGTATTTGTATAGATTTCTCACGTTGTTGTTCATGCACACATGAAACAGTGCTTTTGCCACATCCATCAAATATTCATGCTGGGTTGGCTCACCCGCTAAGCCACACAAGAGGCCGCAACATATTGTGAGAACGCTCGAGTAACAGTGGTGATTAGGCCGAATGCCAAACGTAGCAAGAACGGTAACGTCGTCGTAATAGAGCTAAATACGCCTTCACCGAATGAATAGTATCGTTTTCCTAGTACTCAAGACAATTACAGAAGACCAATAAGCGTTTTCGCTAAATATGCTTTCGTGGTATCCACATTCGGCTACTGCTATTCGAGGGAATAAATGTGGTACTGGTTTTGCTGCAAAAATAGTGTATAAATTTATAATTATTGCAATGGTGTGCTCTGTATGACTGACTGCCTGCAGCATGGACGAATGCGAATTTTCCTGCGACCGCATTACAATCATGGTCGAGGGCCACATGATGTGCCTGGGCACGCTCCAGCATTTGCGGGAGAAATTCGGCAAGGGCTTCCGACTAGAGTTCCTGCTGAAGCACACTGCCGCAGCGGACGCGCCCATGCTGAACGCGGCAGTGCAGCAGCTCTTCAGAGGCATAGAGCTGAAGCAATGCCACCAGGTACTTACCATTACTTGTCCTTACAGACAAAATAAAACAGCCTTAGTGGCTAGGCACGTGTGCAGGTTCTAAAGTAACGATTATGCAGCTAGGAGTTGTCTTTTTCTCACCTAACATACAACATGCAAACATATGCACGCACACACTCAGCTTCAATTTGCATCAGGACCTTATGTTATAATAGCAATGGGAATATTGGTAATTTGAGTACAGTATTGCTTGGTGCAGTGGTCTTTTTAAAGAGCAATACGTCGTAAAAAGGCATCTCCGTCAGTTGTTGGTATGCTGCAGTAGTTTTATATGTCAACAATAATTCTCAAAGTTTTGGCAAAAGAAATTGCAGAGTAAGCACCCTGCACTTTTTTACACAATACGAATAGCGAATGAAACAACCGTTTCATGAAGACTAAGTTGGCACATATGTTTAGTTTTCGTGAGTGCACAATATAAATAGAATCTCTATTTATATTACTTAAGAATTTATTTACCCATTGTGGCATTTTTTATGGCGCCGTACATGTTTGCAAAAATCAATGCCGAGTTAATTGAAGCTTTCAACGAGACTATACCTCTGCCCATAATGAATACAAAAATCCCGAATAACCAATAATTTTCGCAAAAACTTGACAGAAAATCCCAAAAAGCACTTCAGGAGCTTGCACCTGCTGGCCGCGCCACTGAAAACAGAACGCCACCACCCCCGCAAGCTCGCAATTTCTCAGACAATTAGTATGGTGCCTGCGCTGTGCACTTTATCGGATTTTGTGGTAGTGGAGCTACACTGAGCGCAAGACATAAAGCAATACCGAGATGCAGAAAAACATTATCGGCGTAGGATATAAAGGTGCTACTAAAGCAACGTGAAGACAAACGCACGGTTACACAAATACACCGCATTAACCGCGGTTTCATTATTCATTCATCGTTTTCCGTTTTGATGTATTCAGAGAAACGTCTATCTGTTGGCGGTTGGTTGATAAAAAAGCTTGCAAATTGCCCTCTATGCACCTAGTATTCCACAGGAATGATAGCATACAAGTTTATGTTAAGCACATGCACGACTGTTCATTCCCTTACAGAACATTCTGTGCTACCACCTCGTGGTGAGAGTATACCTCAGGCACGATGTGGTTAGCATACAAGTTTATTTTAAAGCGAATGCACGACTGTTCGTTTTCTTACAGAACCTCCTGTGCTACCACCTCGCGGTGAGAGTGCCCTGGAGCGAGATATTCACCAAGGTGGTGCACCTCCAGAAGAACTTTCAACTGGAGCACGCTCTGGTGGCAGAGAACACACTGGAGGACATATTTTTGAACTTCGCCAAAGCGCAAGAAGCGGCCACAATGGCCGCTACTGAGAATGCTGCCCCTTCCACAGCACTACCGAGGCAGTCACCTTACACTGGAGCCCCAGCGTCAGCTGCAGCTCCCACGTCCCCCGCGTGAAACGTAGCACGATTCCGGCTACCGCAACGCGCTTCATACGGGGCGCAATAAAGAACTGCGTTTCCTTAATTCGTATAAAACGCTGTAAGCTAATCGATTTCGTAATGCATTTTGGAGAAGTGGGGCAAAATAACTGACGGAGCAAGACCATTTCTAGTTGTTGCATAACTTTTCCGTATTAATAACCGATTATCGCGAAACAGTCTCTTTTGAAGTTTTATATTGATGCAATAAACGCATG